TATATGATAGAAATACTCTTGTACAGTAAAAACAATATATAATAGCATGGCATACATACATATATGTTAGATGTGTACGCATTGTAACAACGGAGTCCGTATGTACGATAGCTTAGCCGTTCTATGTTACGCAATAATGTTACTAGTTTTCATAATATCTCGTTCATCCGTTATTAGCAAAAGCTAAGAAATGTGTAATTTGAAAGTCGTTGACCTACCGTGAATATTATAACTGTGTGTTTTACCATTATTACATATTGCGTTTACAGGCATGGCCTTTTGAATATGGTTCCCTGTAAAATGAACAAGGTATACAAAACTCCAAGGGCCAAGCGCAAAAAGTGACATAGCTTCTTCCATGGCTTTGATACGAACTGTTCAATACGTCAACCAGTTATCCGAATTGCACCAACAGAAATCAGTGAGCGAACCGCCTGAGAGAAGACTGCACCTCTTTAGCTTGTTGGCTTCATCTCCGCGATTAATAGAAACCTTTCGAGGAAGCAAGCAGCGTGCTTCACGGATTGCTGTGTGTGTTCGGTGTGTACTACGGCAGTATCAGCTGTGCCCTTAAGCTTGCTCTAGTAGTACCTGCTTCGCTCTATGTCCGACATCTTTTTTTCCTTTTATTTGTTAGTAAGCGACATCTGCACAGTTCTCATTCTCATCGGCTCGTGGTTTTGTAATCGGTCGTATCACTAGAAGCAATCATGACAGGGAGGGCTTAACTTTTTACCCATTGGCCATTTGCTTAGGCTCGTTCTAGCACTTTTCAATTTTATTCAGATTCGCATACTCGCGCTTCGTGTGGCAACTTGTTCCTCAAAAAAGTTCTATTTGTGCAGAACTTAACGTTTGCTGCCTTCTATTGCATCGCGTCTTCACAAAACGAAGAGATTTTTAATGCTGCACTTACTTACTTACTTACTTACTTACTTGACTTCAGATAAGCAGTTGTCACGACTGGTCTGGCATCCATTCTGTACACACAGTTTGCAGCCCTCGAAAATGCCCCCTGGTGGCAACTTAATTTCATAATCGCAGTATACGGCCACACTACAAACGGCAATCATCCACAGGGTCAAAATGTGCTCATCTACAAAATACATGGAAATTAGAACGAGCTACTAGAAATGATTTCTTTTTCTACCATAATAGAGTTGCTAATTATCACTAGGGCGTATACATATGGTCGTCAATAAATAAATCTCGATAAGTAAACAGTGCAAATGGTAAACGAACGATAAATATCACATGGGTTACCACCAGAGAGCGCGTCGGCAATTGGGCGCGTTGTTTGCTAGTATAAAAGAAAAAAAAAAGGCGTAAAATGTCTCTGAATTAACAACTTAACGGCTTGCTGTCGTCACATCGTTGGCCGGTAATATAGAAAACATCGCATATTATCTCAAAGATGTTTTGGTATATCAACCCCAGCCCAGTACATCTGTGACAAATAATGTCTGTCTTCGTAAATAACATTCTCTTTCTGCGTGCTGCACTAAATTTCAAACTGAATCAACAATGTACACAAGACCAAGCCGAAGACTGCGGTCGAGCAGTGGCCTTGTACTTTGTGGCACGGACACAGCACAATTCCGAAAAAAAAAAAAAAAAGAAAATGAAGAATCTGTAACAGTGATCGGTAGTCACCTTCATCTTCTTTTGAGGCGTCTATAAGAGTACATGTAGAAGGAAGCCTCTGTTATCGCCGGAGGCGTCACGTTGCATAAGGGGAACCCCGCTCGTCCGCGATCTCCGAGCTTCAGTCATTACTTTCATTCATGTTTTTTGCGTTTCTCTTTTGCCTGCGTCTATCTCAGAGTCTCATTCGTCACGCGGCCCGTCACTCAGTATGGTCAGACTTAATACATCAGCGATTTCAATCATCAGCTCCCTTGAACTAGAACATGCTTGTATCGGTTTACATAGTCTGTTGTTATTGCTCATTTCAATGGTTAGTTCATCATCGTCTGTAAATTTGCCAACACTTTTTTCCTTATCCATTTGCTAATCATACATAATATCATATAATTCTGTTTGACACCTACTTCTCCGCGGAGATCACTTTGTTAAAGGTCGCTCGATTCTGCCTCTCTCGTGTCGGAGTGTGGATGCGTTTTGTTTGACAATAGTAACAATAATGTGACTGCCCTACATTTTGTCTCTTGCCGCTTATTTTTCTCTAGCAATAATATTATCGCTAATTTATAACAGTATATATAATAAATATCATTGTCATTGTCAGTGTTGTTTCATCATCGTCGTCATACTTTGTCATCATCGTTATTCATGATGATAATAGAACCAACATTATTATAGTCATCAAGATGCAAAATGTCAATTTTGTATATGCTACTAGTTAATTTATTATTATTATTGGCAAAAGATTTTCAAATCTTCCCGCCCATTAATATCGTGTTTTTGTGACAATTATTAGTTTGCGTTGCAGATAGTCAGAATAGATGAATACTGTTCACTGGAAGAAAGCGCCAGTCCCGATTGTTACAATTACTTGACTATCGTTCGATTGACAGGGAGTGGGTGCGTACGTACCCTATTGGTTCGAGTTTTGTTCTATATGTTCCCTATCGCATACGGCTACAGTTACCCCTACTGTCATTGCTACTATTATCGTCCTTATGGGTCTCCTTCTAGTTCTATTCTGCAGCGATTGATTTTGGCGACGAGGAAATCTTCCCATTTGCCGGACGAGTGCCGTCGAGCTCGATAAAGAAGGGCAATATTTCTATTGCAATAGCGGTTTTGTAGTAATCAATTGGTATAATAATATAATTACCATTATAGCATAGTATAGTAATTGTTACTATCTGAAGAAACACTGTTTGAGCTTAGCCTATTTCTCCTTATGTACGTTCACTGGCCGAACACGTCCTCGTAGTTCACCCACTACCAAATTACCATTAGAATATTATTGCTCTTAATAAATTACCGCGTTGCAGCGTTCCTATTTTCACTCTCTGTGTGTGTCCAGAATCGAATTGTTTGATTCTTAATCCATTGCGCGACATAGTGTACCTACTGGACGCAGCTACCACTCCACATTCAGGCCACGAATCTCCTCGATCTTTTTTTCTGCTATAATAATTATTAACTATACAACGGTGAATACGGGACTACAGTCTCGTTTCACCGAGCCTTTAGTAACAATCGTACCAGTACTGCTGATATATTAACAGTAATTATCATTGTTGTTGTTTCTAGTGCATGTGTGTGTGTGTGTGTTTGTGTGTGCGTTCCCCTAACTGGGGGTCACAATAGAAAATATCTTTCCTAGTTTGAGTTGCTTCACTTCCACTAAACGTTGTTACTATTGTTTACGATGGTTGGCGAAGTTCTAATGTGAGGTCGCGTATTTGCTATAGATCTGGATCCAAGTTCCCTGATCAATGAAGCAATAATCCTTAAGCATGGTTCTTTGTCATTTTTTTTTTTCAATAATAACCCTTCGTTCTCATCACGGAATCTGCTTCTGTTTTTTTTTTCTTTATTATAGGCTAAGGTATAGCCTTTCTTTGCTATTTTGTGTCCATTCACTTTTATTGCTAGAATCATGTGGTTACATTCAGTCACTATAGGTATCCATATGATTATCATTTTATTACGAAACTTAAAACGATTTGCGTTTTGCCGGTCCATTTTGTTATCATCAGCTTTGCCCACCAGCGTATAATGAATTCTTCAATTGCACCTTGTATGCAATAGTTTCTGTAATTGATTCAGTTTGCCTATCGTATTGATGGTTAGCATTTGCCTTGCCCTTATATGCATTTATATTTAATTATTAATTATTTAAATATATTTATTTAATTCTTATAATCACGACGTTAGTAACAATCCTCCTAACTATAATATACGATCGTCATCATTATCATGTCATCACCAGTCGCGTTAACATTTTTTCATCTTAGTTAACACGCTTTATTATATTGTTATACTTAATAATAAGAACCATAATATTATTAATCCCTTATGTATATATATGTGTATATATATATATATATATATACATACATATATATATATACACATATATATATAATGGCTATCTCATTAACGGCAACAGTATTAACAAAATAACCGCTTTCTATATCTACCCTCTGTAAGTCGACTGTCGATATCACTAGATACCCAAAAAGGTGTCCGTCATACCCATCCGTCCGCCCTATGAGATGGAAGGCATATATTGTTTCTGTTACTCGTTCCAACTCCTTCTTCTCGTTAGTATGTCTCGTGTGCCTCCAGCGGGGCGGGTGCATAGAACATTACGAAGCAAGCAAGTAAAGGCCGCAATGGTCGCTAGAAGCTTCAGTGTCACCATTTCTCATTATGTGTTGTAGTGGGTATATTGCTGGATATAATTCCATGATGGTTTTTTCGGCGTGCAGAGATTGCCGGACCTGCTCACGGATCGACTTTCTTTTTTGTTTAGTATACATGTGTCTATGTAGAATATTTTCATGAACGGCATAATGTACGATTGGTTGATTGATTGCCTGAATGAAGTCATATGAATATATTATGCTTATGTTACAAATAGGTTTCTTCAGTGTGTTACGTTTTTTTTCCTGCTAACGCAACACGTGCACAGGAAATTGCACGAAAATTTTTTTTATTTCCAAAGGGTACCATAATGGAGATTTCGATTTATAATAATATGTTCTACATAGAATTTGATCTGAATTATACAATTTATGTTGCTCTAGCTATCCCTTATTCATATACAATACGTTCATAATAAGCGTAATAGCAGGAGAGGCCTGGCCGTAGTTATAGCTTTCTTGTTTGTCGTTCGGTTCATTTAACCTCGTTTCTATAAGTTTCGCCATTGCTGTTATAATCACTTTAATTGAGTTGTGGATAAAGTTTCCAGGTCGAGGGTATCGTAAGTTTTGAATGCGTTCTTGTATGTCTCTTGCGTATGTATGTGTAGATAAGGTACTCAATGTTATTGCTTAACAAATAACCGTTTGCCATCTGTTAATTGTCATTTTAGCAAGCAGTAAATATGCTTCAGAAGATACAGTTGTCAGCCTAAAGTAACTTGGCTTCAAGTTACAATTCTTCAACTGGCAATCACATCGTTTGGCTATAAGGGATAGTTGCTTGTGTATCTGTGACCCTAACATTGCTTGTACCCTGTAGACACATTCAAGCCCTTATTCGACTACTGCCGCTGGATTCATCCCTACATTGAGACGCAGTTAGATGGGTCGATAAACGTCGACCGCGTCTATACGCAGATAATGAAATAAGCTACAAATAAGCTTGCGTAACAAAAGGCCCACAAGCAGCCCGTAGTCATTGAATTGCGCCGATTAGTTAGAGTTGCAAGCCATTCGTGTTTAGAACGACGTATTTCTACTACTGATAGAATCTGGCATCGCCCAATGATATATTTCGAACAATGAACAAGAAATGCAAACATCAACCAAAAACATAATGTCAGCTTTTATCTTACTACGTTTGTACACAACATCCGTTGTACGAAACACAGGATATTTTCAATATAGGATTGTGTGTTTTTTTGTTTTTTTATCTAGCACGTTCAGCTCTGTGGCTTTTCTCGTTTATGACACACATTCATCACCGCCTAAAAGAACACCACTTGGCTTACCATACAGCTCGTCTAGCATCAAGCAACAAACGCCTGCTACGAATTCGTCTACGAAGCGGCTGACAACGATGTATCCTCTGCCTATAATATGTTTTGCTCTAAGTTCCTTTAAAGCAATATTGTTATTGCTACCCCCTTGCAAGAGCATAAGTTAGACTATCTACATATGCAGAAACATTACTATCATGTCGATGTATGCCAGCGGGTACTGTGGGAGTTTTCATATGTTATAATGTTTCTGCTTTGTTTCGCTCTGTCAAAAGCTGGTTGGCTTGTTGCAGGATTCTACAATTCACCTACGGCTTTCAGCAGCCCCACCACCCCTGTCAGGGCTACATGGGGGCAGGCGCTTGAGATCATCATCATCATCATCATCATCATCATCCGTATCGTTATAATAATAATAATAAGCATCATCATCATGGTTGTTATTTTTGTCTTTTTCATCTTATATATCTTCACCGTGCCTGCTTCAAACGCGTAGCAGCAGTAGTTATTATATCAACTCGCTGATGTTAGTACTAATATAAGGTTATAATTGTGGGTTATTGCCATATGCGTTTTTAGGTCTATCTTCTATCATTAATAATTCATATTGTTAACGGTAGTTGATGCTGCCGTTGTGTACATCTAACGCTCATTCTACATTTCTTACAAATGACAGTTCATTTGTTCTCGTTTGTACGATCCACTGTCATTTTGTGACTTTTTTTTTTACGAAGAACAAGAACATTTACATTTTTCTAAAAACTATTACCACTTGTTTAAGTGTTGATTCGAAGCACAGCTATGAATGTTTTGTATACTTGGCCGTTAAACGATCTCCAGAGCACCAGATTCATTATTGGGTGTGGATCTAATCAACGTGCATTTCGTGTCATGTCCGTGCATTGTACCTGCTCTGAAATCCGCTTAGTTCTGAGAGAGAGCAGTTTTTCTCTGTACCGTTATAAACGTATAACGGCGTAGCTCACACCTCATCATATATATATCGTATGTACGCTGAAGCCCATTGGCTCGATGGTTCGCTCGCTGACACGGCCTCATTCACCGTACGTTTCTGAGATTTGTACTGCAACTGACAAACCAAAGTATTCACACTATAACTTGTTTAACACCTTTCTCGCCACTATATTGCAGATAGACAGGTATACAATCGCTTCGGCTAGTATTCATCCTTCTCCAGGGCAGTGGCAAGGGTCAGCCGTGTTCCGCCATATCGTTTTCTATTGTTATTATTACTACTTGCACCAGTCTTCACAACACCTTTCCGCATTTTTAATAGGGTCGAATACCTCGTGCACAACTTTCCTCGAAGTCTCGAATGGAACAAATAATAACAATACATTTTACAAGTTGACAACTTTAACTGCTAGCGATGCATGTTGCCATGGTAAAGAAAAGATGATCGTACAGCTTCTGACCGACGACACGCGCCAACATCTAAATAGAGTACGCTTCCAATGTGTCGAAACTTGAAAAAGAATAGGGGTTACATTAATGCCAAATATTGTTATACGTTCCAGACAGTACTCTGTCCCTATTTATTAATGGATTTCGTTGTTTACGTGTGCTCTTTTTCGCCCCCTATTCAAGGCACCAGCCCACCCATCGACTGTTTATTTGTCGTCGTCGTCTTTGAATTTTTCGTTTGCTCTATTCCTCAACTTGACACCTTGCATCAATCACTGCTCAACATTGCCACTTCCGTTAGCACTTCATCAATATCATCGGTGACACCAGCATCGATTCCGGCTGTTCTATTCTCCCCTCACTTTCTCTCTCGCAATCATTCATCTCTCTCTCTCTCTCTCTATATATATATATTTATATGTATATATATTTAAAGATCTTATCAGTTTACCAGCCACCTTCTTACTTTCTCTCGCGTTTGTATTGTTGTTGTCGAAATGTTATTATTATTTTATAGCCTTCTGCCAGTTTGTTTGCCCCCAACTTCAACAAGTGTGCCATACCATTCATGTTTGTCATTTTAAACTTTTATGCGTCATTATCACTATCGTCGAGTAACTTCTCGCGTTTGCTTGGCTTTAGCCATTTACGATGCTGGCCTTAATAGCGTAATGAGATAGTATTGTATATTGAGTTATTATCATTAATAGTATTACTATTATCTCATCACTTTTTCTACACTTTTCTTTCGGCATCGTCTAGTGGTTGCCATTTTTGTAATGTGTCTCTTTTTTTTTCGTACGGATTAAAGGCGTAATAGATTATCGTTAATTTTCTATAAAACGCTAGTATCTAAACGTGAGGTAAACAGTGTACATATGCATCCCTCCCCCTCTCTCTCTCTCTCTCTCTATATATATATATATATATATGTATATATATATATATGTGTGTGTGTGTGTGTGTGTGTGTGTGTGATTGGGGAGACAATCAATAAATGAAAGAGGGCTGGCCAGGAAGAGATTATAAGTAGGTATGAAAAGTAACCGAAATAGAGAAAATGTTTCGCTGCATAAAATAATTCGTTCTTTATCACCACTATTTTTGTTTCACTTTTTTTTTTCTAGAGTGTGCAACAACAATAAATTATGTCATAATTATAATCGTTATACTATCAATAATAATAGTAATACTAATAGTAAAACAACAATGTTTAAATGAAAAAGGGTAATCAGTAGTAATAACAGCAATAGTAATAATAATTGACACCCATCATAACATGATCAACAAAATAATCGTATATCGTGTATGTATCAATGTGGATTGGGCTTATTTCATTATGTCACGCTCGTCATTATTGTAATTATCAATAAATGAAACATCTATTGTCTAAGAGTGCTCGCGTAAATTTAACTGACGGACGAGCTTGGCAGGTTATGTAACTGTGCTGAGCCCGTGCCGGGTCCTGATGGCGCGTGTGAAATGGCAACTGCTGCTGCTGCTGCTGCTGCTGCTGCTGTGGTGCTCCTGCTGCTCCCGCGATGGCCGTCTCCGCCTCCTCCTGCTCCTCCGCCCCCCCCTCTAGTATTCGCGGAAGCGTGCGTTTTAGCGTGCGCATTGAGATTGCCTCGGTTAGCGAAGCCTTTACCGCAGGTGGCGCACTGGAACGGCTTAGCGCCGGTGTGCACCGACATGTGTCGCTTCACCGTCGACTTCTGCGAGAAACGCTTGCCACATACCTCGCAGCTGAACGGCTTCTCTCCGGTGTGGGTCCGCATGTGGATTTTGATTCGCTCTTTGTCAGCGAATCTAGTCGACAGACGAAACAAAAGACAACAATGAGAAGAGATGTGATAGCGTTTTTACGAATCACCCTTACATCTGTTCTCTTAAGCTACCAACTCCGATGATTTCGATCATAATGCGCCAGAGTACACCTAGCCTAGCTACACGTGCAGATTATGTATGTATATCTGCTTACCTCTTTCCACATACTTCACAGGGAAATGGCCGTTCCCCGGTATGCGATCGGAAGTGTCTTGTTAGTGATGTTTTTTGACTAAACTTATTACCGCACTGCTCGCACTTGAAGGGCTTTTCGCCCGAATGACTGCGCATATGCAACTGGTAGACATTACGGGTCGCTAGAACTTTACTGCAAACAGGACACACATGCTGCTTTGAGGGGCCGGCAGTACCGGCCTGGCTGGAAGAACTTCCTGACGAAACGACGCCCCCTAGAACTTCGGACGACGACCCAGCGTGTTGTGGGTCTTGTTGGTTTCCTGCTGGGCCCCGCCGCTTGCCATGCCGTCCGCTTGGTCCAGCAGAGGCTGGCGCATCGCTATGCCCTTGGCCTGGACCTCCTGCACCGTGGCTTGAATCGGCATGCCCCAAAAGAGTGGAACTATGACTAGCGGCAGTGGACAGCGCCGGGGTCTGGCTGTGCTGCGAGAAATCCAGTGAGCCAAACTGCAGCAAAAACAACAGTATGTCAGTGAATGGCCAGGTCATATTGGTACATAGTAGGAAAGAATCATAAGTTATCAATCGACAACCATGAGAGAAGATAGCAGACTAAAACTAGGTGGTGAGGTGTTTTAATGGTGCGTTCCTTGCAACAGTATGGGAATAATGTAATATAAGGGCTTCAATGGAACAGAATGTATTTATAAATTAAAAAGCCTGTTCTCTTCTACACCTTGTTAGCCAGCGTGTAATGCATCTACGTGATATTCAACTGTGCCAATAGCAAATGTAAAATACCTGAGTGGTGTGAGGGTCGAGATCAGCCTTGAGCTGGCCGAGCTGCTCCTGTTTAAGGAACATGGAGGATACAGGTAGGCCAAGCTGGGAGGCCTGTAGTTTGGGGAGTAATGAACTGGACGCATCGCTCTGGTAAGACCACTCATGATCAGATCCATGAGGTGCGGTCAATGGCGCTAGCCCACGACTAGCAAAAACACTATGTGCGAGCTGAATAAGCATACAACGGATGAAATCAAAATATTTGTTAACTGACATTTATAAGCATACGTGATCAGTAGCTCCTATATGGGATAATACATAGAGATTTTTAAAACAAACGTGTTATTTTTTGACTCTAGAAAGAGCAGAGGCACTAATTTCAATTCCGGAATATGGCCGATCGTGTAATAGAAACCCTATTAGTCCAGCAGTGGACATTTAACAAAGCTCCACATATTGTTGCGCCGTTACCATGAGAGCTCACGCGAGTTATGAGAATATAAATATGGTAAACAAATACGTTCTTCACCTATCTATTATGCTTCTAGGACATTTGTGATGGATTCGTTACTTTATACAATATCTGATGGTTAGGGAGCGACGGTACCTCAAGCGAGCTTTGTGAATGACTTTGCGGTTGTCCGTGCTGCTGAGTATGGTGGGCGGCTTCAGAGGAGGCGCCCGATTGTTGATGTTGTTGTTGCTGATCTTGCTGTGATGAAGGTGCCTGTTGTTGCTGCTGCTGCTGTTGAAGGCTGTCTGAAGGTGGGGGAGACTCGTTCTTGATAATCGAACTGACGGGCGGGAGCCGAGAAAGAGAGACACCGTGCGACGACAGGAATGAGTCGACGCTGTTGTCTTCGCTTGGACCTAATGGACCCAGACCTCCGCCCCCGCCCGCACCGTTTGGACTGCTCGCCCCGGAAGCTACATATGAACAAGAACAACAACAAATAAAATCGACCAACGCGCATAACGGCTAATTCTGCAAGTTACAAATCACTTATACAGAACTTTGTCTCATGGTTTTGGTGTAGGTCTACGTCGGATTTGTTAAGTTTAGTAGACCAACAAATAAGAAAAGCTTCGTGCGGCAAAACCACCTGACAGACAAATTAACTAGAGTTCCAGAGCAGCTGTTTCATGACGGGACAGTTTTTTTGTGTTAATTCTGTCTACCAAATATACGACACCATAATGAATGTGTTTTGTGGACGACTATTGCACTGTTGATCACAACAATAATCATCATTGAACAACAATTAGGTTACCAATGGCGTAAATTTTATACGTGACTCGATGATGCACATCAGTCCAGGATGCCTCAGTCTGCTTATATGATCACAGCAAGACCAGTAACGTGTTAGAAATCTCATAGGCATTGCACTCAATTTGGAAACTTCATCGGAGCTAAATGCAGGACTACCTTGGCCTTACAACTGTAAGAGAGCGTTCATTTCTTCACAGCCTGGTAAGGGGTTGGTAGCTTGAAAAGTGATTGTAAACGAGTAGGTAATGTTGTGATTTATACTAACCGATGTGTTTATCCTCTAACGTTTTGGCGGTCTCTCGTGCAATTAATTTAGTTTTTACTCAGACGTCTCGAAATGCTAGAAGCAGCACTGCGAAACATTGTCATACAGGACATCTATCTATTTTAGATAATTTTTCTGGTAGTCAATGTCGATAAAAAAGAAAAACAGGATCGTTTTTGTTCCTAGATTTATATTTACTGCTATCCGGATACTTTGGGATTCGAATTTGCTTTACGTCGAGAGGAGAACAGATAAGTAAATTGATCAGAGAAACGGTCGTGCATAACGTAAGCATTTGCAGAACAACTTTGATTACACCAGTACAATTTATCCTTAAATTAGTATCCTTAAATATACTCAAATCGGTATATCAGCGACTTCAGACACTTTGAGCGAAGAGGTTTCATGTATGTTTATTTGTTCCTGTATTTGAATGCCACGTATTTCTGATTCCGTTTGGCTCATTTTGCCAACTGGAAAACGTTTTTCCCGTTTTCTAGATAGCGTTCAACTTCTTATAATTGTTTGCAGAAAAATTCGAAAGGGTCTGAACAAATCATCGCTTAGTGGTTTCGCGTTATCGATATTTACTTCGTTATGTCAGACATATCCGCTGTGACTCGGGGGTTTAAAGCGCCGACTGTAGAACGCACAACTAAGTAATGCATTGCAAGATAAAAATTTTGTGCTCCTCGTTACCTTAAATTGTCTCATTCGAAAAAAGGGGTTGTGAAACGGGCTGCTTGTTTCCTATCTTTCTAGCTCAAATTCAATCTTATATGGTCTGCTTTTTGCAATTGCGAATTTCTCGAGAGACTGATTAATAAAAGTGTTAGGCGTTTTGTTAAAAGTTGCTTCATAGAAGGAGATGCTGTACGTCAATGTTTGACAATAGGTCTAAGTTAAAGCTCAGTCGATTCGCTACGGTTGAGCAGCAAAAGGTAACTGCGCCATAGTGGCTATAGCAGTTTGAATATTGAGTAAACGTCCGCTGACATACCCTAATTAGAGAGAATGCTACACGGCTTGAGCAGGTATATCTGATGCACTAATGACCTTCTGTGCACACTTCTCGTATCGCTTACTGGACGTAGAACGGATGAATCTAAGTAGGTATGGGTCTCGGAAGAGTCCATCACCCCTCCCTCACCCTACCAGGGAATTAGAGGAGTACCTAACCGACAACGGCTCTGGGGCGGCTATTTTTTTACTAGCGTTTGTTAGATAAACAAACATACAGTTCCAGCGGTTATGCTGAGTTACTACTACGAGCGTCATTTCTAACACGTATATTTTTTCTAATATGTATATTTTTACATTAATTCTCTATCTAGTTATGGGCTAGCTTACCAAATATAAACAATTATTTTTTAACAATGTATGTTAATTACTTAAGAGGCATATAAACATTACCTTAAATTTGCATACACGATACATTAGCGATTATTAATTAATTAACCATTTGAGCAATGCTCATTGGTAATTACAATCTTGTAATAGGTTTTGTGACTAAATGCGGAAAAGGACCTAGCCAATAAAGCATCTACTGCTAGTAGCTATTCCTTTCGGAGCACCGAAGAGACACCTAAGACTATACATTTGAATCAGAAATACACGCTTAGCCGATCGGAAATACATAAACGAATGTTGCGCGTTATCCTTGCGTTGTGTTTTTTTTTGTCAGCAAAAAAACCAGTGCCAAAACCGCTAGCATAAAGGGAATACGTGTAAACTTCTAGCTGTTACGGTATTTCGAACCATATGTTGAATTTATTATCTCACTTTAAGCAAGTTTTATGTTTATTTGGGCTTGTCCACCCGTTTTGTCGTTGGGTTTAATTATCAGAATCATGAAACTCGAAATCTCAGCAGATTTTAATTTATACTTAATAGATACTGCTAAACCTATCATCGTTTTTTTTATATATATATATGTTTACTACGGACCGTGTAATGCACTGTAATTCTCTAATAGTTGTTTACTATTATGCAAGCCTACCCCTTTGACTAATCAGATGTAAATTAGCTAGAATGATAACAGTATCAGTATACCTAATCTATTGTGTTGTCTTTTCTATCGCCAACGTTGTTAGACGGACTAGGTGGCTTTGATAAATGGTACGAGAAATAATTAAAGCATTTTAGCATACTTCCTCTGATGGGATAGATCATATACACGTATCTATAAAAGTGCCGTATATACTCACCAAGAAAGTCAAGGTCATCGACGTATGGCAGCAGACTGGAGGGGTGATGTGTAAGAGACAAGGGCATACTGGCGGCCGAAGGAGATGGCGGGCCAGGTGGCGGTGCGGGGCTCAGCTCATCTGGAGATGATGGCGCGAGTTGAGGCAGCGGAAGCGCCGGCAGCGAAGTGAGCTGTGAAAGGCCGGGTAGGCTCACGCCGACGCTCACGCCCATGCCGAGTGCGCCCACGTTGAGACTCAGCCCCGCGGGGCCTGAGGAGCCCCCCGCCACCGGCGATAGCGTCGACTGCCCGCAAGCGCCCGACCACAGAGCCGACGGATGCAGGGAACTACGAAGGACCACAACAGAAAGGCCACCCCCACCACAGTGATGCATTAATCCCGAACACGATGATATCGACAACAAGAAGAAAAACAAAACAGAACCATAACTACAGCCGTTAGGTTTTAGTTCGGACAGCGGTCTACTACTGCAGTTTCATCATTATTATAATCATCGCCACAATCAGGCTGACCATCATCACCACCTTAAGTATCATCTTTATCTTGCGTTTCCGTTCAACTTTACTACAGTCTTTTCGCCCTAACAAATAACAATTAAGATTCGTCGTCAGTGCATGGTTATGAGATTGGTGATGCGATGTTGCGCGCATTGCACGAGTTCCAACATGATAAACATACGACGATGAATGAATATAGAAGAGAACGACTCTGGAACGACAAGTTAGTCGCGTCTGCTGTCACTGAACACGGCAACGATGACGAGGAAGTGGCTTCACTGCTATTTGACAGAGCTCACACACACGCGCGTGGCAGCTTCACTCTAGCGCCGTTCCACCACTCTGTCACTGTGGCACCCCGCAAATAGTCCGCTCGCGAGGAGTGAGCGAAGGCAGTAGCACAAGGTCACTGAGGCATTTACGAGGAGGGGCAAAGCTGAATGCCAAGTAACATACTGACTGACGTCAAGTTTCATTAGTCATCATTGACGAATTGTTGCTGCTCCTGCTTCTGCTGCCACTGCACAGATTGGTCCCTGGTTGGCCGCCATGATGGCCTACGGCTGCAGCGACCCTATCTGCCCTGCCGTTGTCATGCTTGCTGGACAGCAGCGAGTGGAAGGCCGGCATCGTTTTGTGACAGGAGTCAGGACGATAGGGGGAGACGCAGAAAGAGAGGGAGGGGAGCAAGTGAGAGGGACAATGAAGTCATAAAACGTGAGGAATAACTATAGTGCACAAACAGCTAACTAGCACGCGCTGATGATATTCAAATAGATGCGAACGACGATGGCAACCAGAATGGATTTGGTTGAATCCAAAAGTTGAAAAGGGGGACCAATTAAGCGTTTTTTTGTTATTATCTTCATCCGATTTACCTTTTTGATTGTTTTTAGCGGCAACGACACTAACCGTTGGGAGAGGTGCTGGAGTTGTGCACTCCCGAGGATTTGTAAAGATTGCTGCTGCTGCTGTTGCTGTTGTTGTTGTTGTTGTTGCTGTTGCTGTTGTTGTTGCTGTTGCTGTTGCTGCGAGTGATGGTGCTGTTGTAGCTGTTGATGAAGCTGGTGTTGGTGTGATGTGAGCGGGGTGGGTGTGCCCTGGCCCTGAGGCACGGGCTGGCCGGGGCCCGGGGGATTAGTGTTGGTGCCGCTGTCCGAATCAAGGGATCTCTGGTTGGATAACGAGCAGGGTGACGGAGATTGCCCACTCATCGTACTCGCACACGCAAGTTGTCTGCTTGCTCATAGTGCTCGCAGCCTGCCCTCTCGCGGGCGCCTTACATGTGCTCGCTCTAGCTACTATGGGCCGGGAACAGCCGCCCGGAAATAATCGGCCGACGAGAGCGCGCGCGGGGTGGGGGGCAGCACGCGGCGGCGACCAGCACGCCTCGCTCGAGCCTCGCTCCTCGCCGCTGGAGGGCGCTGCGGGCGCGCGGAAAGTGGACGGCCTCAGGACTCGAGCCGCGACGAACAGCCTTCCTCATTGTCTCTGCAAAACAAATACACATCCATAGCAATGCCTACATTTGAATACGAATATTGGAATGGACTATATATATATATATAGTATATCACGTTTGACGCTTTATAGAAATTAGGATATATATAATCTGCAGTTAGAGAGTTAGCTGGCGTTAAGTAACATTTCATAACATGTACATGTTTGCCTCGCATATCATCATCATCATCATCATTTTTGTCATCAGGATCACGGGAGGCGGCCGTTGCCGTTCCTCCTGTTGCGATCCGCGTCAAAACAGCGTTGGAGCGCGCATCTGAGCTCGCTTGCCATGAGCGCCAAAACTGTGCAACAAGATGCGACTTCATGCGCCTTTACATCCTGATCGTAATGCCCATCATAACGTCGGCATGCAGAATCCTCGATGAAATTCATCGTCGTTTGAGGTTCACGCATGCACATATGCAATCAAATAGACACTAAGGTGGTGCAACAAAACCGCACCGGTAAAAGGCATGACATGTAGCACCAACGCTGCTGTTGACGCCACGAAGCGAATCGATATAGCCAGAATTTATTATACGTGCCTCTCTGTCATCACGTATCAATCACTACCGCTATTGATGAATTGAGACTATTATGTTTTGATCCTTTTTATAACTACTGTTACCGCCATATTATCGATGGTGGCGCGTATTTAAACAAGCTGATTAAAACAATTGCAGCACAAATCGTAATAGCAGCGTTGTGATGAAAACGTGACAAACCTCCTATACGATAGTGATGTGAACGACAAGAGCCTCATCAGCACTGGCAGGGACAGTCATTCCATCTATTGCAGAACTGCTAAAAAGGTACGAGTGACAATGAACGGGTGAAAACAGCACGATTGGCAGGCCGGTCGTCCGTTCGCTCGCTCTTTTCGAGTCACTTGTATCTTGATCGTGCTCATGCTATTGCTGTCGTTTACTACTGCCGGTATTGGCCGCACAGTGGTAGCGTGGCACGCGCGACACCCGCTAATCCGTGCCAACGGAGCCCGGGACAACGTTGGCCTGAGTCGGCCAGGCACACAACAGAAAAAAAAGAAAAAAAAAAAAAAAAAAGAAAAAACAACAATCACCATCACAAGCAGCGGCGGCATCGACGGAAGCAGCGCCGACGAAAGCGAAATTCAAGGACAAAGTCGGACGGTTCGAGGTAGCATCGGCAGCAGCATATAGACCGCCGATGTTGAGGTAAACCAACACAGCATGGCGTCGAGGCGACACCATTTCGTTGCCGCGAAGACTCATCGTCAGTTCATCCTTCCACTTCTCCATCCGTTCATCTGTCTGTCTGTCTATGTATCGGTATAGCTAACGAAGCAGATAGGCAGACGCGAGGTGCACGCCCGCCCGCGCATGTAGCCAGCCAGCCAGTCAACGAATCCAGCCGATGAGAATATTAGATAGGCAAACATTCGCTCGTTTTTGTGCAAATACTTTTCCCACTTTCTTATATAGTTTTTGCCAGCATAGTTCGCTCAGAATTCATCCAGGTCGCTATACCACCGTCAAAATTAAGAACTTCCGTGCGTGTAAACATCCATATCTTATATGTTATTATATCTTCACTTGAGGGCAGCGGGCGGGCTAGATAAATGGTTAGACCGAGCAGGGCTATAAGGTAATGCGTTGCCGCCCAATTAAGAATTTCTCGTTTATACTCGTGCTTAGGGCCCAGTCGTACTTTTCTCAGTTTTACAGTAAGGCTTCTTTAAATTTTACACTTGTTAACCATCTTCTGCTTTGATGCCCGCTCAGCGTGATGCGTTCAACTTCTAGTTGAAGAAGCTAAAGCTCGCTGGTTCAAAGCCCGCCATCGACACTGAGTAAACCTTTCTGTTGCCTATAAAGAAGGTCTTTAGGTAATAAAATCTAGGAACTCATAATTTGTGCCGGGTCGATTTGAAGCTCTGACAAATGGGCACCGTCAACAAAAGTGTTCCCCTTCAATTGCAATTTTATATCTGAATACGAGTGATGGTCGAATAAAGTTTCTATCGAAATTGTGAGGTATCTCGTAGTTGATACATCTTTTAAAGTTTTAACTAATATGTAAGTTCTACTACACAAATTATCGAAATAACCACACAGTTGTTCAATGAGTGAGATCAGTAATGTCGGATAGGCAAAACCGTTAAGCTAGTTGCGAGTATCATTTATATCTCTATTTACTTTTAATAGAAAAGACTGAGTCGAATAAGAAAAACCAGAACGACATCTTTCTTATGCGGTATTAATAACACTTTCCGGAAATTCGTGGCACATTTTCTTCAACATAATGATATTGGCTATAGTCTATTTTATCTGATAAAAGAGAAATCCATTCGTATTTAATTGTATATCACGTTCCATCTAAATAATTTTGTGTCAGATAATCCGATTTTCGTCATGAGTCCTTGAATTCTCTTTTATTTTGTTTATGCCACAAACTTTTTAAATAGTAAGGACCTGCGTCAAGGACAGCTCAAGTCATGTTCCCTATCCATGTCGTACACGGACCCAACTGTCGTCGTTTTTGAAGTCTAATTCAGAGCTGACCAGCCGATGCATTTCGGATTGTACTGCCCAATCGAATACACTGCTGCTTTTGAGAGTGATCTTCTTAAGAACCAACTGACTGAAGCCTATCTGTATATATATATATATATATATATATATATATATATATATATATAGATGAATAGAACAATTATGGACAAGCCCAGGAATTAGCCATAGCATGGTAGTCACTACTAACAACAAGGACAAAACCTTAAAGGAGGGGAATCTGAAAAAAACGAATTTTTTTATTGCTCACTTGTGCTTCAGCTAGCGTTAGAGTGAAAAAATGGACGGATCAGTGGCAGCAGCGAAACAATTTTGCCAAGCAAACCATTGTCGTGTTCCTCTCGTTGACTAGTTTTCTATTATTACTAGTTTTCTATTATTAACATCACAATTGTCATCTTCATCAACAGGAGTAGCATCGCCGTCATCACGATCACCAACACCCAGAAAATTTATCTGAAACTAACTAGTACGTGCTAGAGATCAGAACACGAAGCAGTGACAACAGAAGCCGCTGCTTCTGCAAGAGGTAAATGGCAACAGCCGATTGCACCGGTGACTCCACAAGCGAAGAAAAAAGATGGAGGTAGACAGAAGACAACCGCCGCCAGCAGTCGGCCGGCACGGAATCGTAAATGAATTCTGACGCGCTGTTAACGTTAGCCGACCAAGCTAGCGAGCGAGCAAGCTGCTGGTCAAACGACACGGAACGGCACAACTAGGAAGCTGCTTGCCTACGAGATGTGGCTGTGTGCGCCTGCATTATACTAGTATAATAATAACCATAGTAATAATCTGGCCGCTGGTAAAGCAAAAACGCGACAGTGGGACGGCGGGCCAGCAGCGAGGGTGCGTGAGCCTTGGGCATTTTTGAGCGTTATTACTGTTAGTTGGCTAAGCGGTGACGGTAAACCAAGCCGCTGGCGTCGTCGCCGGGCCTCGCGCATCGCCGCTCGGTTTTGGTGGTGGCAAGGGCGGTGGAGGCGACGGCGACGGTGTTGCGGTTCGACAGGGCGCTCGTCCGTTCAGCCACTGGCAGGCAAGCGAAAGCATATTTGCTAAGTAGCAAGTGAGTGGATGGACGCAGAGACGGACGCGCCTGGTTGTGCCTGCGGAAAAGCCGCAGGCACAGCTTAGATCAACTCAATGGTTCAATATATTCGATCGGTCTGCGCCTCCGTTCGGTCGGCCTGCTGGCCGCTTGATGATGTGCTGATGACGCTCTCTAACTCGATTTCCTTCTATCTTTCAGCCTCTGTTTCCTTCTTCTTGCCGCGTTCGGGTAACCTCTGTTATGTCGGCGGTATTGACTCGATACGGATATCGGCATACACGCGGCTACGTAACATCGCTGGCCGCTGTCGGTATCCTTTGCAGCCGGTGTCCATAGGCGTCCCATAACCAGACGTCGCAGGGCTGCGGTGCATTCTTGCGTCGGGCCGTCACCGTACGACGGGCCAACTGACTAGTCCGTCGTCGGAGTGAGCGGCCGCGATCGCCAACCGTCGCTAATATTGATATCAGAAACAGCGGTAGCCGCAGCAGCGATCGTAATATTAGCCAACCCTCAGTCAGTGATTATTGGTCTTTGCGTGCTATTCTGCCCGACTAGCAAGACGTAGGCTGGAAACAGGCAGGCAGGCAGGCAGGCAGGCATCGCCAGTGGCACAAGGACCCTTTCTGCCCACTACCACCAGCACTGTCGTTGTCGTCATCATCGTCACCACCTCCGCCTCAACTGCCTCGTTGGCCTTGAGCGACCTGGAAAGGCAGAGCACACTGTCCCGCCGTCACCGTCGCCGTCGCCGTCGCTGAGCTGCGCTCACCGCCTGCCCCCTTTCGATTTGTCTTTTTCTCTCGCTGCACACTCGCTATGTGCTGCTGATCGCCGTTGGTTTCGTTCTAATAGCAAGCAATAGCTGACTATGGTGCCGATGGCGCCCGGCCACGAAGCTGACCTTGATGCAAAGGCAGACGGAGCATCAACAGCCATCATCGGCAGTAGCAACAACATCAGCGGCTCAGCCGTAACCACCAGCAAATTACATTATACTACTAGTATTAACAGTAGTGAGAGCATTAGTCGGCACCAACACTCGCGGGCGGCGGCTGTGCGACCAGCCACAACAGCAGCCCTAGAGACGAACGCATCGCTTCGCTGGCTATCGCTCACTCTCCAGCGAGCCTTCTGCTTCCGTAGCTGCCGTTTCATTCACGGTCGTCACCAGCTGATACTTGAGCGTTGCAGTAGCAGTGAGAACAGTAACGTTAATGTTAGCGATAGACGGCAAACGCTGGCTCCGCACGCATCGAAAACAGCGCTCTCAGCTGTTGCTGCTGTGAGACCGTAGACTCACAAGTAAGTAAACATGACAGCCAACTAACAAGCCACCACTTATCGTCGGCCAGAACTACAGCCATCGGCAAAAGAGAAAC